ACACACACACACACGACACACACACACACACACGACAGGCACAACTACACACATCACACACACACAACACACCACAACACGAACCATCAGGCACTCCCTCCTCTCTCTCTCTCTCTCTCTCTCTCTCTCTCGTTCTTCTCATGGCCTCGTCTCTCGCCCCCGACGACGTCTCTTTTCTTTCTCCTCCTCTCCCCCCGCTGTCACTCTCACTCATACAAGTCTCTTTCTTTCTTTCTCTCTCTTCTCTCTCTCTCTCTAGTCTCTCTCTCCGCTCTCCTCTACTCCCCTCCCCCCCTTACTTATCTCATACAAAAGTTATAGCCCAACCGGCCGTCTTGCTTCGATCGGCTCGTGCGTATAGGCGTGTACCATTTTTCTCGCACCCTCCCTCATCTCTGACAGTGAGTTAATAGCTGGCCACACACCGGAACACGGCTGCCTAACGTCTCTCTCACAACGATCTATATCTCAGTGCACATCACACTTATCTACTCTCGGACAACTCTTGTCTGTCCTCCCGCAGCCAAAGCTTATAATTCACAACGCCACACACATGGGTCTCACCGAACAGCATACGTCGGTTACGGCGGCGGTGGTGATGATGTATGGGTGGTGGTTTGTACGGCTGGTGGTTGTGGTGGTGAAAGTGGTGGTGATGATGTGTTTGTGATACGGAGGGTGCTGCTGTTGCTCGATGCTTGGTTCTTGTTTGTTGTTGTTGTTGTTTGTTTGTTGTTGTTGTGGGTGGTGGGTGTGGTGGTGTTGGCAGTATTGGCGGTAGTGACGGTGAAACGCCGTGGTGTTGCGCGATGCGCGGTAGTGGCACGGTGAGCGGTGGGTGTTGGCGATAACAGTGGCTTTCTGTCGCGGGCGTAGAGCCGCACGCCATGAACCCAACGCGTTTGGCAAGAACGCAGTTTTTCGTTCAATCTGGCGCCAAGATAGGCCGCGGGGGTGTGCACACGTATAGAAAACTAACCAACCAACCAACCCAACCAACCAGCCTGCGAGCCCGCCAGCGAGCCGACGGCGTCGGTTTACCATCAAGGCTGTGGTTTGTTTACTGCAGCGACGTAATGTTATCGTCATCATCATCGTCGTCGTCGTCCCGTAACCGACGCCTAGCGACGTCGTCGGCATGACGCACATGGTGCGCGTGTCGTCGCCGCGGCGACAGCAGGGCGTGCTTGCTGCAGGCTCGCTGCCTAGTTTCTCTCTCCCTCCAACTCACCCTTCCCAATACAGTACACTCGCCGGGTACACACACATACAGGGACACACACACACCCATATATATATCAGGAAGTGTAATAATTAATAATAGATAAATATATATAATATTATCATCGGGGTAAAGTAAGTCACAAACATACATAACAACAACATAAATCAATGTATATTTATTCCTGATATATATTTAATATATATGTATAGTATTTTATTATAAATAGTACATTATGTGTGTGGTGTGTGTGTAGGCCGTAAATATATATATATAATATATATATATATATATATATATATATATATCCCTCGTCCCACGAGTGGAATAAATCTACTACAATTCGCTGTCTGCGTTTCTCGAGTTCTTACATAGTTTATAGCTCTGTAGTTCGCGCGTGTGTTGTCGTGAGAGCTCGCTTATGTGTTGTCGTTGTCGGCAGCCGCTGCTGTTGTTGTTGTTGTCGTTGTAGTTGCTGTTGTCGCTGTTGTTGTCGCTGTTGTTGTCGTTGTAGTTGTCGTTGTTGTTGCTGTCGTCGCTGCCTGAAGTGCTAGTTTGCACATCTAGCGGTGTAGAGCGGTCTCCGGAGAGTGCAATTAACCGTTCCAGTTACACCGCTGTCGTTTGCGACCAGAACAAAAAACAATGACCGTGTTTGTTTTAGTGTAATACATACGTACACGCGCGCGTGTACATAATAATAATATAGTATGTTTGTGTAATAACATAGTTTGTAATAACATAGTATGTTTGTGTAATAACATAGTTTGTAATAACATAGTATGTTTGTGCGTGTGTGGAGGTGTGGTGAACTAACCTGGTAGTGCCTTTTCCTTCACTAACTAACTAACTAACTCACTAACTAACTAACTCACTAACTAACTAACTAACTAACTAACTAACTAACTAACTAACTAA